CCTTTATAAAAAAAGGAATTTAAGGGATAAGGTAGAATAGTAAAATTAGTGCCAAATAATTTGACTAAATATGGAATATCGGCAACTCCTTTTCAGTTATGAAATATAAATCAACTTACAGCCACCGTACAATGTTACGCATCTTTGTTGGCTTCTTTGCCTTAAAAAATAATTATTTTTTTTAGAATTTCAATTTATAATCATTTTAATATATATATATATATAAAACTAAATCTATCGTCAAGTAAATACAAAATTTAACTTAATTAATTGTATTTAATTGTTAGGGTAATTCAGAAAAATCCCTGGGAAAAGAAATCGTGGGAAAATATAATCCCAGTAAAAAGAAATCATCCCAGAGAATGATGAGAAACCCTAGGTTTCTGCGTCAGATCTATTTTTTTTTCAGGTCTGACCCGACACGGGAAATAAAAAATTGAAAAATTTTTCAAAGATCCGAATCCTATCAGTTATGAATTTTAAAATCAAGCGCCAAATCCGACGCCTGAATAAATGTCGGTCCGTGTTGGACCAACCCGAGTTAAGTCAGATCGGGCACTTGGTCCGTGCAGGGCTTTCCTATAGAGTTATAACCTATCTTAGTTTTAGGATTTAAAATCCCCGGCGAATATATCATATGTGGGGCTAAACGGCTCCCTTTTTAACTTGAGTTAGAAAAGTGTCATATAATAATACGTTTAAAACCATGAGTAATATCAGTTATCGCTGTATTTTTTTTTCTTATTTGAGCATGTCTAAAAAAAATGGACTCCATCATGGTCAGAAGCCATGCCAGCGTAACTGTTGAAATTATCCTCAACTATAAAGTTCTTAATTATTTAAACTTTAAATAAATAATAATTCGTCATAATTTTATTATAGTCGAGAAGATATAATTTGGAAAGTGCCAATTTGCGAGATATCCAATCAAATTTGCTTTAAATTATTATGATCTTTTTTTTTAACCAGTAGAAATTGATTTGCTATTTAAATGATAGTAGACCATCTATCTATATATACTATATATTTTTTAAAATATTTATTTACCCGGCATTGTTGATGGCGGAAAAACAGAAAATATTTTTTCCTCTTTGATCCACATTCGGCCGCCATTCAAAGGATTGGAACCAATGCGTACTCTCTAATTTCTGGAGCTTGGAATGGATAAGGCCACGAGGAGATACGGATATGAGATCTATGATACTTTAAAATTTATTTATACACATCAGAGATCTCCTGCAGAGGTATTCCATTAGCACGGCCAGGCCCGGATTTTTTTTTATAGAAAATTAAATTTTTTTCGGCCCAGCCCGGGTTTTACATTTTCAGGCTCGGTCCGGATTTTAAAAAAAACGGGACTGGCTTAGGGCTGGGCCTGCAGGTCTCTGTTAAACATATTATAATATGGGTTATTTCATTTCAGTAAAAAATTTTGAATATGAGATGAGACCAACATTTTCACGAAAGAAAATAAATTGGGAGACAATATATATATATAAACTTAGATTCCCCATTTCCTGCACACAGCCCCCCTCCACCCCAAGTTTATTCCTATGGATGAAAACTACAAGTGTAAGCAACAACTTCTTAAGTTGAAGATGTTCCTTAAAACTTTAGTAAAACTTATATATCTATAAAAATATATACCTTTGAGAAGGGTTTTGACTATCAATTTCGATCACGCCAGAATAAGTGGTTCCTATGGGTACGGCTATACAGGAATTTTCGTATGGTGTAGGGGGCGTAACAAAATCGGGTAGTTGGTGGTTGCAGCCCACGCTCAACTCCACGAGTTCCGCCATGAACTGTAAAGTTACTCGACTCAAGGGTACATCGGGACGCAAAACGCGAGAGAAATCTTCCAAGATTATGGTGACCGGAATAAAGGTCGGAAGAAGGAAGGGAATATTGCCATGAAAAGTATTGAGCAGGAATGAATTCGCTTCGAACGCTAGCGTGCACGTGAGCTAATTTTGCATATATATATATATATATATTAAGTTAAATATTTTTTGGGGAAAAAATATCTAGATACAGATACGTGGGCCCTAAGTAAGTATCTCTAAATATGGATAAATATCTTAAAAAAATACATCTTAAATACATACATAAATATTTTTTTTATATATATTATAATCATGTAAGGTGTACCGAATTTCAAAATTGAAAATATATTGTTTTAAAAAAAAAAAACTCATATCGCGAAGTGAAAACCAGTGTTAAACGGGGTCGGTTTGAGCCGATTTTTAAAAACGGCTAATTCAATAACATCCAGAAAAAATATTACGCACGCCTGAAAATTTTGCTCATAGAGGGAACAAAGGTTTAGACATAAATTATCGAAATCTCGAGTCGTAGGCGTTATTTTTCCTGGCTAAAATATTGAGTTAGCGGTTTTGAAAAATCGGCTCAAAACAACCCCGTTTAACAACACCACTAGTGAAAACTAAACACATTTTATATTCATATTGATACTTAATTTATATAAAATATTGCCTTTTATTTAAAAAAAACAGCTCTCAGGGCTTTAATCGCTGAGAAATCTCTATTTATCTGCTAACAGCTGTCGACACAGTTATAGCTGCGCCTAAAAAGTCTTTAGACTGATGCCCTTGTAACGTTAATAATAACACAATTCATATTATGATTAACTTTAAAATGCAATAATTTCTTAAAAAAATAATTATTTTAGGTTTTTATAATCCATATTCTCTTTGTGGAGAATTAAATCTTTAAATTTGTTTTTCTTTTACGATTTTCTCTATACTATTTTGTTAACCGGTAATTTTCCAGATTCCATATGTATAAATCTTAATTATTTTAGATGATTTTTTCTTTTTGAATAAATTTTTGACTGAATACTTCTATATATATATATTTATCAATGGTTTATAAAACTTCTTATACTTCTTTTTTGGCTGCAGATACATTTTTAAGTTACATTTACGATGTCATAATTTTTAAAAATTTTTTTATTTTCCAAATTGTAATAATATAAATGGGAAATTATTATTTTTTTTAAAAAGAATGAACATAACCTCATTATTTTAGTAGAAGCAGTGTTGTTAAAAAGTTAGGTATTAGAGTCTATTTCTGTAAAACGTTCCGATCAAGAGTTTACCCTAAAATAATATTATGTGAAGCATCGAGATTGGGCAAATAGAATTTCCAAGCATTTCTGCCAACCATAAGCAAAAATCTTTTGGCTTACATAATGTTATTTTAGTTATAATCCTAATTCGGTGTTTCCCGAATCGGCTTTTGTTTTTACAACACTAGGTAGAAGCAGTACTAAAAAATATTCAGGAAAGAAAGAAAGAAAGAAAGAAAGAAAGAAAGAAAGAAAGAAAGAAAGAAAGAAAGAAAGAAAGAAAGAAAGAAAGAAAGAAAGAAAGAAAGAAAGAAAGAAGAAAGAAAGAAAGAGAAGAAAGAAAGAGAAAAGAAAGAATTTTTAATTTTAGCTCCTATTACCGGGTCAAGCCGCCCTCCTATATCTTGAAAATATGTGCACACATCGCCGCATTCTTCCTTTGTTAGACCGAAACGACATTTCACGATATCGCCATCTGAGTCGGATGCTAAAAAAGAAAAATAACTTTTAAGCTATGATTGATGAGTATCATCTTGGTGAGAAATATTAATTTTTTATCAAAGATCTGTATAGAGGTCAAAATTTTAGAACCCACAGCCCTAGCCAGGATTCGAAATCATTTTATCTTGAAGCCCTAGATCGGGTTTACTTTGGGGGAAATTTGTTGATCTAGATCTTATCCGAATTTGCCTAAAATTCCAATTATTTAGAATAATTTTTTGCGAATGCTTTAAAAGGAAAATACAAAAAAAAATATTAAGCAATAAAGGGAGTATTATTATACGTTCCATTATACGATTTTTTCGACATTTTCTATGGCTAGACAATAAAAATTTTACCCACCCTGGATTTTTAAAAATATACGATTCGGTCCTTTCTGGGTTAGGGGCCTCTGGTCTCTGTTGTTTATACAAAGCTCACATCATGCCTGTCTTCTTTTTACAAATTGTATATAGCGTTGTTGGGTGTAGTGTTGTTAAAAAAAAAGGCCCATATCTGGCTCGATGCTGAAAAAATGGCCCTACTAAGATTATAGCCAAAATAATATCGTGTAAGCCTGGAAATTCTGCTCATAGATAGTCCAAAGGTTTGGACATATATTTTTCAAACCTCGAGGCATTACAAAATATTATTTGATCTAGGTCTAAACTACACTAATTGGGTGAGGGTAAAGATTTTTTTTAAAAAAAATATCATTGGACCGACCATATGCGTGATTTTTTATTCACCATTCCAGACCGCTACTTTTAGCAAATTATGAACAACTTTGGATAAGGTGTAGATTATTTCAAAAATATTCGCAAATGAATAGGATCGGTTAAGTAAATTCCGTGATACTTATAAAATGGATTTAGTCGCGACAAATTTCTATATATTATTTAAAACTTTCATGTATAACTTGCAATAATTATTGTAAAAATATGTTGATTAAATTTTAAAAAAAAATACAAATAATTATATGGAAATAAAACTTATTGCTTACCAAAGGATGAATACATTTATTTAATATTTATAAAAATAATTTCTTTATTCTTTTAAAATAAAATTACCGAAAAAAATATCTGCAAAATGTTTAGTTTTTCTTTCTTTCTTTTCTTTCTTTCTTTTCTTTTTCTTTTCTTTTTCTTTTCTTTTTCTTTTCTTTTCTTTTCTTTTCTTTCTCTTTTCTTTCTCTTTTCTTTTCTTTTCTTTTCTTTTCTTTTCTTTTCTTTTCTTTTCTTTTCTTTTCTTTTTCTTTTTCTTTCTTTCATACAATCATATAAAGGAAATAATAAATATAGAGAACTTAGCAAGAAAGAATATGCAACAAAACCTAACTAGAATTATGAAGAATTCTAATGAATAAAATCTAAATCTCTAATATTAATATTTATATATATGTATATCTATAAATATACTAGGAATTTTGTAAGTGTGATTGCATCCCATTTGAAATCGAACTATGGGTGGTGTTCCAGAATTCGGGGCATGATTGACTTGACCCGTGTCTTGCCTAGGCGTCAAATTACCTCCGACTATTAGACTCCACTCTTCTTTACCCTTCTTGATAGGTAACCAGCAACACTCTTGGTAACTTATACGCAAAATAATTATGATATTTTAACATAGTTGAAATAATTATTTTATTCATACAAAGATAAGGGTATCACTGTGAATTTTTGATTTTAATATAAACTAACTGCCGATCTAAACTTAACCTATCTGTCACGGTTGTCAATAAATTTAAAAACCTTAGAAAAAGCCCTCATTAATTTTCATACATTTAAGCTATTATAATTTTTTTTCTTCCATCCACACACATGCTTCGCGATAATATACAAACTAAAGTCCCGAATATAGTTTATTCTGTTTTTTAAAAAAAAAATTAAATTCCGACATGTTGAAGTCTAATTCACTTAAAAATCATTTAGCCATAGCATCCTTTATAAATGAGCATGCCCCAATTTTTAAAAATAAAAAAAATTACATAAATATCCCAAATAAAAGTCACCCCCCCCCCCAATCCCCTCCCCCGAATTATTTACATGGCAGAGAAGTTTTGAGTGTCTTCGGGAAATGTGTATAACTCTGAGTGAGTGCCAGATACCCAATCTGACAGGTAACTATAATCGGTGCATTTGATCTTTAAATCACTTATGGTGCCGTTACACCCCGAGTGGCACCTCAAATTCCCCATATTTCCCGAGATGAAGGAACCCCTTTGTATGATATCGTTATCGCAATGGGTAGCCTCGCTGAACGACCTCCGCCAAGATAATCTGTATTGGAATTGTACCTTTTCGTTTAAAAAGATCGAGCTAATAATAGAATTTTCGCAAGAAAAATACCGCTTATTATATTTGTTGATTTTGGTGGTATTCTAACATTTATGTATCGCGATTTTCTTTATCGACGCTTATACCAATTGAATTGAGTCATCGTTTTCAATTAAAAGTGACACTATTTTCTTTAAATTTTGTGCATTATTTATACATTTTAGGGAAAGATTCTTTTACCGATCCGATAATATTCCTTTTATGAAAAAGACCAAATAATCGTATGTTTATATATTTCTTTATAAGTTGGGAGGAGGGGATTGGATGGGCAGGACATCGAAAAATTTTACCACCTTTTGAATTCGACCTCTGATACCATGAACACTCGGAAACAACACGGAAATAAACTTTCACGATATGTCGCCTGAACAGAACTTGAAGAAGATTTCATGCTTCGAGTCTGACTGGTGGGAACATCGGTTCGGATAGATAAATAGAGACCTGCAGAGGTACTAGTTTCAAGAACCGGCCCGGTTTTTATTTTTTTTTTCAGGGCCCAGCCCGGATTTTTTTAAAAATATATTACATTTATTTTTAATTAATTTTTATAGCTAATAATTAGCGATTTAACGATTTAAAATATAAGGCCCGGCCCGGGTAATGACATACAATAATAACTAGACTGAAAGCGTCGATGAACTGCAAATCAGCTGAATCCGCCATTTTGGTAACTCATTTATTATTCTCATGTTTAAAAAACTACTATTAAAAGTGATAACTTGTTTCCTTATTGATCTCGATGATCAGGCAATTTTTTTAATAAAGTTTGAGTCAGACATAGGAATACATGGGACTCTCGTTTAAAATTTTTAATAATGATATGGGTAGTCAAAATGGCGTCTCCAGCTGATTTGCATTGATGTACACTTTTAATGAACGCATCGTCAGTCCAGGTATTGTTATATGTCATTGGTTATATATAAAATTAATATTATGATAATTTAGTTTCGGTAATTTATGATTGACGTTTTTAGACAATTCTAAATTTATATTAACGCCAGCATATAAATATGTTGATAATTCTTAGAGAATTTCCTGATATCTGTTAGAAACGCGATCAGGAACATTCCGAAACGTTGTACGTAAGCGAAACGAATAATCCTTTTTTTTGGCCGAAACTGAAACGGAAACAGGAAACGCAATGCGGCCATTTGGGATCATATAAACAGTTAATATAAACGTGTTAGAAGAAGAAAAAAAGAATCAATTTGGAGCGGACGCACGCGCGGTTTAGAAACTCGGTAGCGGGAGTTGGAAGTTACCTCCCTTCGAAATGGTTAAAGCGGAACGGAAATGGGGGAAGTATCTCCCTTCAAAAAAGGAGCGTTAACAACTCTGCATAGTTTTATTTATTATTTTTAAGCGTTTTTTTTTTGGAATCATATGATTATATTTCAATCATAAGGAGGCTACAAATTCCCACCAAAAAAACACCAAAAAAAACACCAAAAAAAACACGAAAAATTTTATTTTAAAGCAGTAAAAAATTAATTCCTTGGGGTTCTGAATGTAAGTGGCTCGTGTTTTGTAGCCTATATTTAAAAAAAAAATATTTAGAGTTCCATTTGATATAAGTGTTGTTTAACGGCTCGAAAAACGGTTAACTCAATATTCAGAAAAGTATTAGGCAAGCCTGAAGATTCTGGTGATTAAATAGCACAAAGGTTTATACATCTATTAACAAAGTTTCGAGGCTTAGCCAATATTTTTCTGGCTAAAGTATTGAGTTAGCAAACAATTGGCTCAAATCTAACCAATCAGGTGTCCAAGGGAAGAGAGAGATAACGATTGGTAGAAGAGAAAAAAAAGCAACATAATTTTGTTAATTTTTTTTTTTAAAAATCTTGCTAATAAAATACGACTTTTCACAAATGAACCAAGAGAATTTCCTTTTTATTCGACAAAAAATTCAAATAGAAATTTTTAGACACAATTATGGTTCCTTTTTGGGGACTCAATTATAGAATTTTATTTTTAATTATATAATTATATAATTATAAATTTATAAATTATAATATTTTTAATTAGGTTTTATGTAAATTAAATAAGATACATATACGTAATAATAAAAAAAAAATAAAAATTTTATAATACATATTAATTCGTCATAAAAGAAACTTTTTTAAAAATAAAATAAAATAGGAAACAAATGTTAAATTAAATATATATTTTTAAAAAAAAAGACTAAAATAAATAAGAATACATTAAAAAAAATATATATTACAAAGAAAAACGTAAAAAAAGGAATTTAAAAAAAAATATATTAAAAGAAGGCATATATAACTAGAGAAGAGTGCAAATGCTTAAAAAATCGGAAAAATCTTTCATTGGGATCCCGAGAGATCTATCTCAATTTTTTTTCCATATGAACGAGTGCCTAACGGCCGTATCATGTCTAAGGGTATCAGTAAAGAATTGCTAAGAACACTGTTGTATGTGAGGCCATTTTGTTTTTTTTAGGATCCTCTGATGGCAGAAAATTAGAAGTTGGACTTTGCCGCGCAAAATAGAATACTAATTTTTTCTTTTTTTTTTAATCTTTCTTAGAGTCCTATACCAATCGTTAAGAATTTTTTATTTCTTTTGTGGTCATTTATTTTTTAAAAATATGTTTCGATTTTTGAAATTAATATCCCATTATTTATAAAAAATAAAAATGTATTTTTTTTTTAAAATATATAATTAATAAAAATGTAAACTTGAAATAAATAAGGGATATTTTTTTTCTAGGTTAAGAAAATAATTTAAAAAAATTTTTAAAAATAAAATTCAGGTGCGTAAATGTATTATATATCAAAGCTTTATATCGAACCTTTCTCTTTTCCAACGAAGAAAATAAAAATTATGAAAGAAAAATATTTTAAAAATTTTTATTTTTTATTTTTGGTAAGGACGGATGGGGTCTGTTTGACCCTTATCAATACACATTCATGATGTTTAAGGGATCATTGTGTATAGGCTTCGAGCCTAACACAAACCATTTTTTTAAATTAAATTTAAAATCTTCCATTCGACATAAAAAATAAACCGATTCGAAAACATAAAATATTTAATATTTTTCCAACAATTTTTTTACTTTTTTCTTTTCTTTTCTTTTCTTTTCTTTTCTTTTCTTTTCTTTTCTTTTCTTTTCTTTTCTTTTCTTTTCTTTTCTTTTCTTTTCTTTTCTTTTCTTTTCTTTTCTTTTCTTTTCTTTTCTTTTCTTTTCTTTTCTTTTCTTTTCTTTTCTTTTCTTTTCTTTTCTTTTCTTTTCTTTTCTTTTCTTTTCTTTTCTTTTCTTTTCTTTTCTTTTCTTTTCTTTTCTTTTCTTTTCTTTTCTTTTCTTTTCTTTTCTTTTCTTTTCTTTTCTTTTCTTTTCTTTTCTTTTCTTTCTTTCTTTCTTTCTTTCTTTCTTTCTTTCTTTCTTTCTTTCTTTCTTTCTTTCTTTCTTTCTTTCTTTCTTTCTTTCTTTCTTTCTTTCTTTCTTTCTTTAAAAAATAATAAGAATTTCTAAGTTCATGCCATTTTTTTTTTTTCTTCTTCCGACTTTTTTAAAAATTGCTAAAAAAAAATTCTTGAAAGATTTTGATCTTTATTTTGAGAATGCTTATATAAGGATTTTTAATTTTTGAGAATGCTTACTTAAACAAATCTTTGGATCAAATTTTAAAATAAAATTTTTTTTTTTAAGAATGTAGCTTATAAATGTAACTAGTTATGTTAACTATGTTAAGATTTTTTTAAAATTGTTTAAAGTTATTATAATATACCAAACTCTTTTAGTGTGGTGTTGTCAAAACCCGTTTTGGGGCCGGTTATTGAAAACGGTTCGATTACGGTTTTAACCCGAAGTAAATTGTATTAACCCTGGAGATTTGCCCAAATTGAGGTCTAAACCTTTCACTATTTGACTCACTTTTATTTTGATCTCTCTCTCTAGCTTATAACCTTTCCTTAAAAAAAAAAAAAACTAAAATATTTTATTTAGCAGTAATAATATAGGTTCATTTAAATCATAACGCGTCATTATTTTATATTTATAAATTTTAAATATATATTTCCTATTTACAATTGAAGTTAAATTACAATTATACAATATAATTCACGTAAGAAGAAGATATACTTTAATACTTATATTTAATAAAAATTCTTTATTTTATTATCCAATAAATTATGCACATATTTTAAACGATTTTATTAAAATGATTTCACTTTTTAATTATATAACGAGAAGAGGAGAGAGTTGAAAATATACAATTATTCAGTGAGATCTTTACCCCTATTATATATAAATGAATGATTTATTTATTTAAGGTTTTTTTAAAAAAATATGCGTCTAATTCATTTTATTTTTTATTGATACCTTTTAATTAATTTAAACGAAATTTAATAAAAATGATTATATTATGTCTCTTTTTAGAAATTTTATAAGAAAATTGAATGGCGGTATTATGAGTCAAATACTAAATGGAACTTTTAATTTCACCTTAAATTTTTTTACTTCTTTCCTCATATAGCTTCTAACTCAGATAAGAGAGGTGATCTAGAATTGCCCAAGTTTGAAACCTAAATAACCTTGGGGTAACACATGTAGGGGTAAAATATGTAATTTTTAATTGAAATTTAAAAGTAGGTTATTTAAATATAAAGAATGTAATGAAGTTCGAATTATTAACTATCTTAAAATTTTAGAAACTGCAGAAATCCAAAAATTAAACGGATCAAGGGGGGGGGGGGTGTAAAATTAAAATTAGCTTGGCGCTCTTCATAGAGGAATGGAATAGAATAGAAAATTCTTATTTATTATCATTCTAATGGCTAATTATGTTTTAAAGATTTTACATTTTTATTTTTTTTTGAATTTATTATGATATTAAAATGTTACGATTGAAGAGTAGTGTTTGGTAAACGGCTTATTTTGAGCCGAAATTTAGGGGAAAAATATTGTGCTACCCTTAAGATTTTTTTGCTCGTAGGTGGCACGCAAAGGTTTGAACATATATTAAACGAAGTCTCGAGAACTTAAAACAATGATTTTTCTTGTTAAAATATTGAGTTAGCCCTTTTTTTAAAAAAATTGACTCAAATCGATTCGGTTAACAACACTAATCGATACTATAATTATTCGTTCATAAATTCATAAATACGAATTGCCTCTTCTTCCTACCCTACATTTTGTATTTATTGCTCGAAGAAAATCGTGGCACCTAAATCCCTTCATCACCATCGGTTATTTTTTTCCGTAGGATAAAAAAACCGGGTTAGTGCCAAGAAAAGTCAGTTAAAAAAGCCGGTCTAGGTCGGGTTAAAATTTGGGTGGGCTGGACGGGCTCGAAGATTATTGCCATTTACGGCCCTCCGGAATAAGAGGGGGAAAGAAAAGTTAATGACTATTCAAATAGTTCGCTAAACTTTGAATGCGCTGGCTTTAATCTTTGTAACCCTAAGAGTAACTTTTTAGCAACGGGTTCTTATATACTATTCCAGAAAAGAATCTGATATAAGGAAATTCAATATGGAGTTATATAGATACAAAATAGTTTGTTATAAAACATTCCTTATTTGATATACGGGGGGGGGGAATACATACATTACTGAGCAAACAAACCAACAAAAATTATAGTAGATATATAGTAGAAACCGGCAGATGTACCATTTGCACGGTCGGCCCCGGGTATTTTTTTAAAAAAAAATTAAAATACGGTCCGGCCCGTGTACCCGGGTAGTGGGCTTAGAGTCCGAGCCTGCAAAGTCTCCGATATATGGAAAATATTAGATTGATAATATAAATATGGTTATTTTTTCAATGCAGGAAAAATAGGTAAGTTATTGTTTACCGTGTTTTTACCGGCCGGGGACCACGTGATAAAACCGCCTCTGAAATGGGAGGCGTTCGATAAATTGGAGCCATAAAATAGCGTAACGGAAGCGTGCAATACCAGATTCAATATGTGGAACGAACGGATTAGGTTAATCCAAATATTAGCCACTCTTAATATCATCTCAGTTTATTATCATCAAATGCGAATCCCATGTTAAAAATCGACCAATAAAATAATTATTCACCTTTTTTATATATATATTTAAAAATAAAATAAAAATAATTAAGTATATATTTTTATAATTTTTAAAACGTTTTTCTTTTAAATTAATTTTAAAAAAAAAAAAATTATTTTTTATCTTTCTTATAAAAAATTGAAAAAAAATATATAATATTTTTAAATAAGAAAATTATATATAAAAAAATTAATTTAATTTTATAAATATTTTATATTTATTATAATAAATCATGAAATAAGTTTTAATATTATTTATAATTACAATATTAAAAATGACAAAAGATTCTTTTTTTTAAAAAAAAAATAATATTTTCTTATTTAAATGGAATGAGAAAAATGGAAGGAAGTTGGGGGGGGGGGGTAATTCAATCCATTCTTAATAGTTTTAATTTAATAATATTATAATAATTATATATCCGAGTAAAAAAAATGTTTAAATTTAAGGATGCAAGTCATGTAATATATATTATAGAGATCCGCAAAAGTAAAACCGGTCCGTACCCGGCCCGAACCCGGCGGGCCGAATATTTTTTAAGAAAATCCGGGCCGGTCGTGTCGGGCCTTAGAAATTTTTTAAAATGAATCTAATTTTATCAATTTTATGTTGAATTTTTTATGTAAAATAAAATGTGATTTTATGAAAGTAGATGTCAAATAACATAATATAATTTATTTTGAGTAATTATAAAAATTCGTTTCTATATTTAAAATAAATTCGGGCCGGGCCGGGCAAAACTTTATAAAATAAATTTCGGGCCAGGTCGGGCTTGAAAAATTAGGTCCGATGCAGATCACTAATATATTAGGCGTAATCTTAGAATGACCCTTGTCAAAAAAAGATCAAAATCCATGAGTAGAGTATTCCTTGGAATTATATTAGATTGCAAGCAGTTAGAATCTTTCTTTCAAACTTGGTTTACTATACTTGTAAATAACCATTTGAAATAATTTTTTTTAAAAAGACCATTTAATATGATCGGCATAGATAACGTGATATTTTATCGTTTTCGAAAATGATTATACCTTTTTTTTAAATTATTTTTTTAATATTTATTTTATAAAAAGAAATTTGATTTAAAAAATAAAATAAAATTAATTTGAATATTAAAAAAAAACGTGTCCTTTTTCTCTTAGAATTTTTATATTTTTATATTTTTATATTTTTCATTTATTTATTATTTTATTAAAAGATTTGCATTTGGGAATGTTCTGTAATTCACGTGCCCCGCAAATATAAATATTATAAATGTGAATTCTTAACTCAAAAAAGTTCATTTTTTTTTAAAAAAAAAATGCAGAAATTTAAAATTAAAAAAAATAAACATAAACATAATATTCCAGAGCCGGATATCTGTAAGACATAACCGAAGCGGGCCGGTTAAATAGTATGATTTAGAAAATCAATAAAAACTCTTTTATAGAATAAATGTAAAATGATATTAATCAAAGACCAGCAGAGGTACCATTATGCACGGCACGGCTTTATTTTGCTTATTTTTGTAGGAAATAGCATTCGGTTTTAAAATATTCGGTTTTAAAATATTTGGTTTTAAAATATTCGGTTTTAAAATATTCGGTTTTAAAATATTCGGTTTTAAAATATTTGGTTTTAAAATATTCGGTTTTAAAATATTCGGTTTTAAAATATTCGGTTTTAAAATATTCGGTTTTAAAATATTCGACCCGGCTCGGGTATTTTTTTAACAAAAATTTTTTGGCCCGGCCCAGGTACCTGCCGGTTTCCGAATGTTAATTAGCCAATTGAAATCTCGTTTATTAGATCGTGTGACATTCGTTTACTTCTCACAGTTCCTCCATCCCAGAGCAAAAATTATGTAAAAATAAGCGGAATTATAAATATTTGGATCGGACGTAAAAATTGGATCTTTGCGGGTTTCTGATTCCAGCCGAAATCTTAATCTACCTTGTCACCATCTTAGCTCTATTACACCTTATTAAACGATACTTTATTATCCAACCTAAACTCCCCTAACGATTACTTTCTATCGAACAGAAAGTTCAACGGATAGAGTTTATCCTGATTTAGTAACTCACAAAAACGCTTTTCTTCACCATTATACAAAATTATTATTTTGAAAGAGTTTTTTACCAATTGCAATTATCTTGGTAGAAATCCCAACTAAGATTTAAATTTATTATCACTATAAAAATCTATCCTTGTATCCTTGCAATAATTCACCTTATTTAGCACTTCCAGTTCACACATTTGAAATACACTTCTTAAGTCACATATAATTTCAACCGTGTGAAGATACGTGGATGGCATTATAACATTGGAAAATTAATTTTATATTGGTTTAGATTTGTTGTGAACTGCATGGTAAAATTCCTGAGTTATTGTTCCCCCAAATTGCACTATTCGATATCACCATGGATGAGAAAGCATATAATATTTTCACTATTTTGTTTATAATTTACAATTTTGAACTAACAAGTTTAAATTCGTCGTAAAAACTATTTGTAAAGAAAAGTTAATAAATGAATCGCGTATAGTTGCGATTTTTATTTTTTAAAAAATGGACATGGAAATATAGGAGAATTTGAGATTTAAAGATTTGATAATAATTGGAGTTAGATTTATCGAATTTCATTGGGTATTATTGATGCATTTAAAACACCAGAACTAATAAAAAATGAAAGAAATTCCTCTCTCTCTCTCTCTCATTTTATTGGAAATTAAAATTTAAAAATGAACCTCCAATAAGAAAGTACCTTGCCGAAATTTTATTGGTTATGATGATTACAACCAAAAATTTTTCTGCCCATATTAAATTAAAAATAATTAAATATGTTTATAAAAAAGTTTTTTAAAATTGTGATTTTAAAAACCAAACATTAAACAAATTCAAATCACAAAAAAAAATAAAAATATTGGAAAAATATAAAATTTTGAAATAGAATATATTTGTTTAAAAAAAATAATATCATATAGTAATAAATAACGTGTTATTTTTAGAAAATTATAAAATGAATATTTTTTAAAAAAAAATGGAAATTTAATTAAAATGATTTTTTTTAAAAAATTTGGTTTTACAGGAATTGTATTTTAGCATGTATAGAGTACTTCAAACTGTTAATTTCAAAACAATTTTGCCACGTACGGAATTTCATATAAGTTAAAAAATTACTAAAATGTCTATGGCTGAAATTGACTGAAATTTATAGGGTTAAATACTCTACACATGCTAGAATACATTTCTTGTTTTAATGGAATTTTAATTTTTTTTTAATCGCCATCTGTAAAGGATAATTAAAACAAGATATTCCGAATCCCCATACGACATATATAAAAATTATAAAAATGGGTATTAAATATTGAATTTGTTTTTAAAGTTTTAATTTTATTTTCTTTATTTTATTTTACACTTTTGGCATTTTTTTTTAGGGTTAATCTTCAAAAATCTTCATCATTTTTGTAATACGATACTAAATTACGAAATTTGATCGATTTGGATTACCAAAAAAATAAATAATAAATATATTAATAGTTTTTAAAAACTTGACATTTTTTTTTATATATATCGATAATTTATATATAGATTTTTTTAAAATGGAAATTTTTTGGACATTTTCCCTATATTTTATAGGTTTATTATATTCAATTCAACTTTCTCAAGGTGAGGTTAATAATATGAGCTCAGAACCTCAAAATATCTCTATGTGGCAAAATGACACTAATTTAAAATCGGACTACATAGGGCCGAATGATACTACTTTAAATTCAAACTCCATGGGGCAAAACGAGAAACATTTAAAATTAAATTCTACTACGGAATTGGAAGCACGAAATAATATCTCCATGGGACATAATGACGCGAATTTAAAATTACACACAATGGGGCAAAATGACACAAATTTGAAATTAAACTCTATGGGGCAAAATGGCACAAATTTGAAATTAAAATACAATGTATTGAAAGCGCGAAATATATCTATCGGGCATGATGACACGAATCTCATATCAAACTTCACGGGGCAAAATGGCACAAATTTGGGATTGAGAGCTACGGGGCAAAATGTCACAATTTCAAAATTTCATTTTCCAGGAAAAGCGCCAAATATCTCTACAGTTCAAAATGTCACAAATTTGAAAATAAACTCTACGAAATCTTTATTTCCGGTTCAATTTTGCTGGCCGGAAGTTTGCAATCGCATCATATGTTTTTACGGTTGCCAAACCAATCATTGGGGATGCCCTACTATCAATTGTTAGTGTCTTTTTTTTTAAAAAAAATATAAAATTCATAATAGGTGTATATAAATATATTTCAACTAAATATATATGTTGCATATTTTAAGGTTGCCCATTCATACTTTTTTGTCCTATCTACAGAGTGTACTACGATGAGTACACCAGTTGTCGATTGTGCAAAAGTAAGTATTTTAATATTTATTTGATAATTATATATATCCTAAAATTATCATAATTTTTAAATTTTCTATCGTTAAACGATATTTTTAACACCCATTTTGTTATGATTTTCTCTGTAATTGGTTAACTCAAATTAGCCAAATTTATTCATAAATATCCGCTTGAACAGGGGTCTGTTGGTCTCTTTAGGTTTTCAGGGAATGAGAGTAGAAAGTTAAAATAACAATATTTTGGGGAATAGGAGGGCGTTAATCTTAGGCGTGTTTTTTCAATAAATAATTCCTTTCATAAAGCTCATGTGTTCATTTATATATACATTTTTTTTTTTAAAAATATTATTCCCGCTGACTACAATATATTTTTTTAAAGAATATCAGAGTCACCTCGTAAAATCCCAGAACTTTTATCTCCAATTTCATTCTATTTAATATCATCTACCGTTTTAGCTTTCAAAAATTATCAAATTCTTCTTAAATCAAATTCTCCACCATTTCGTAAAATATAATCGATCTCCTTCATATCACCGTTAGAGTTAGCTATTAAAAAAAAAATAACACGATACTTGTATCGCGCTATATATTTTCTAAAGTAGCGATCGGTAGAGAAGATACTTCTATTTTAAAAAAAAACAGCTAAATAAACGGCCCACTAATTTTTTTTCGAGGTAGCCATGGGTAACAAAGATAGATATTTATTTTAGTATTTTTAAAAATGATGAATTTAAGACCTGTGCGCGGGTTTTTTTGGATCACTTCGCAAACGTCACCGTTTATGAAAATCACGTGGGCTAAATTTTAAAAAAAAAGATAAGAATTTTCGTGTTTTATAATACATCTTTATTCTAACCATTATTCAATATCACAAATTGACGATTCCAGTGATGATGATAACAATAATGCCACTCAAATGCGAACATTAAAATTAAAATGTTCAAAGAGATCGCATATTGGGGGATACCAGGGCTAGTGGGCACAAGGGAATTTTCGGGTTCAGAGGATTTTATTTTATAACCAGTTACGATTATAAAGTAAAATTATCTAAGATATCCATATTTGGGGAAAGAAAATAATTTATATTATTTAAGTTATCCAAATTTTTTAATAGTTTAACGGCATATTTTTGACATGAAGATTGCAATATTTTCACTTTACATTATTAGGTTTTATTTAAAAAAAATTAAAATTAATATAAATAACAGTGTATAAATTAAGATCTTATATGATCACGGTTTTTGGAGCTATGATGATTTTGTGCACCGACTAGACCTGATCTCCCCTATAATTCTGCACAAAAGGGCTCAACAAGCACTTCATTTTTTTTTGATGAAAATAGTTTTAGGCTATAGCGGGCTATTTTTTTTTAAAAGGGAGTGAACTGTATTGTAACATAAACATCTCCATTTTTTTTTAAAATGAAATAGACCGATTTCTATAGGAAGTTATCAATACCTTCTCAATCGATTTTTTAAGTTTATTTTTTAAAGTCTATAATTCTCAAGCATTACAGAGATTATCTTTTCATATGTAATTCCTCTTATAGAGGATCTTACTGGAGAGGAGGGGAATGGATCTTAGTCGACCAATAATATAAACTAGATGTTCGGATAAACGTGTTATAACTAAGAATAATCCTATTCGCCGATTGTTTTGAAAGGAAAATATTGCTCAAATTAATCTAAAAATATTGATCAATTGTTTAAAAAAAATACACCCGTCTCCACCCATTACTTAGGATATTTTAAAAGCCCGCCCGTTGTCAACCTTTACTCTGAATTAATAAATAGTGTTAGCCTAACGACTATCATATAGATTTTGGATTTAAAATTGGAAAAATATTCTTTTACACAGCATCACCCTTCACTGGTCCCAAGCAATTTTTTTTATCTCTAATTTTTTCCACATCTGCCATCACACTGTAGCACCAGGTTAAGTGCCTAACACCCACAGCATCTATTATAACGCGATATCCGGATTATCATTATGGTAGTATTGTATATGATTAATCCCAAATATTATACATTTAATATCTACCTATATCACTTAAGGGATAATTCAGCATGTATTATAGATACAGATTAATATACGTCTATCATTTTTATTATTATAATTTACTTTTAATTGACTATATACTATAAATGATTTATTCTGTGAGGGGGTTGAAACCAAAACAACCCTTCCCAAAATTGATTATCACGACCCTCACAGTTTTAATTTCCTCCATTTTTTTACAATCGCCACTTACCTTTTTATTTTAATTTTCTGCTTTGCCCAGTGGATTTAAACATCTTTTCTTTGGAATCATTTACCACCATTTACTAATCTTATGCACAATATAATTATCCATAAAAAAAACTCCTCATCTGACTTTATCCTTTCCACAAGAAATAACGTCATCTGCGCATCGAACCCCCCACTGACCTGTCTAAGTAATTCTGCATTTTATATAATTCTAAATAAAGTGCGCCTAAGAGACTGAAGAATTTTTATCTGAGATGATTTTTATTGAAATCAAAATATTTCATGTCTTAATCATATATTACGTTAAAGTACATATAATTCATATTTTATTTATTTTTATTTTAGAAATAGGAACTTGAATAAAAAATTAGTTATTCCTTGATGACATGGATACATACCAAATGAAGAATGCTTCCAATAATTATACATTCATATTTTTTTCAAGATGACATATGATATTTATAGATTTAAACTAATAAAAATACATGTAAAAAAATAAACAATTATTATGAATAAGATATGTAACAAAAATCTATCAGTGAATCGATAAATGTTTTTCATTTTGATTATATTCTCGATAATTCTGCAGATTAGATTTGACCAAATTTGACCCAAGGAGGGAGCCTTATGACAATGTTGTTTCTAGGGGGCCTATTGCCTCCATACAGTAATTTTTCATTTTCGTTAGGGCCTTCGGCCGAATCCCTCATAAAGGGTTCCTTTTATTACATGGTTTTAAATTATTTTATATATTTAATTGGCATAAAAAAAAATCTCCAGAACGATGGGTTGGAAAATTATATTTCAGCTTTTACAATTCTAATAAAAAAAGAAGATAAAAAAATTAATTAATACGACAAGATAGATCACACAATTTTAAGATTCGCACATATTAATTTAACCAAAAATTTATACTTTAAATATAGCGTGGGGTATCAAAATTAAATTAAGAATAACATACACTAAATCATAATCTTAAATCAAACATATTTATATATGTATTTTTTTTACATATTAGCGCTTGTAACCAAAGAAAGAAAAGGTATAATGAATAAATGAAGGTCGTACTATAAGAGATCTGCCTATAAAATTTTAGTGTCCCTAAATGTTATCCGTTGAAGTCCAAATTTTCATTTTCTACTAGGTTATCCTTGAAAAAAGTATCAAGATTGAGCTAGCTGCATCGTTATTAACGATACATAATACATATCGAAAGTTTGTTATATTAGATTCTGATTTTAAGGAAGTGAATGGTAGTGATACCTCTGACAGATTTGATATGTAGGTTATTATTAAATTTGGCATTTGGTGCGTAGTAATTTTTGTGAGACGTACCTCTAACCACGTCAACCACCGATGGGTAGTGGCCATGTCGGGGTATATGAGGTGGTTTGCACATCAGCGATAAGGTTTATAATGTAGGTGTGTGATTACACTAAGAGCAAGAGCGGAGAAATAATTGAGAGATCGAAGGATGACTAGGAATAAGATAGGCAGTTAGAATTAATGAGATGACAGGAGTATCCTTCCGTTTACTTTAACTGGTTTATTACATAGTGAACACTTTTGTTTAGCAGGTACTTGTACTGCAGTCTGGTAGTCTCATTTTTTTCTCAGTGAGCAATTTATTTTTAGGTTAGTTTCAGGATTTTATAGGCATGAGATATAGAGTGAGTTGCTAATTTGGTTCTTTGCGTCAACTACTAATCTAGCGTTATTAATGGAAAATGAGGAAATGCCAAAAGTTTTGGAATGGACATTCATCTATAGCTTTGTGAATATTTGGAATTTGATTTTTTTTTTCCTTTTTGATTGAAACTTATCTTTTTGATTTATCGTTTCCTTTTATTGAGCTGATCTAGAAGTTTTTTCTTTAAAAAAAAGCCTTGTATAAATGAGGGTAATTTTTTTTAAAAAAAAAACTATATTCTTTCTACTAAAACAAAAATACGAATAAAACAAAAAAAATACGAATGAAACAAAAAAAATACGAATAAAACAAAAAAAAGACGAATAAAACAAAAAAATACGAATAAAACAAAAAAAACACGAATAAAAGAAAAAAAACACGAATAAAACAAAAGTACGACATTTATAAAACATTAATTTTCGAAAATATAAATAAAACTAAGGTATGAAAAGCCATGATTATTTATAAAAGATAAATGTAATTGAACCCGGGAAAGATCGAAGTAAAATTATCATATGGCCCCACCATACCCATAAATAAGGAAGTGGCGGGATACGCGTATGAATTATAACACTTATTTAAAATGCGTACGCGGAAACGAGTTTGGATTTCAAAATTTGTTCAACCCCTCTTCTCCATCTTTGGAGGAAATTTATATAGGGGAAGAATGACAAACTGTAGGGGTTTTTTTACCGCTCCCATCTGTATTATTTTTTTAATTTCCGCCCTCTTTCCCCTCACCACTATTTCCTTATCCGTGAGTGTTATAGATTATTTCTTAAAATATCGATATTATCGATCAAAATTGTTTAATATTTTATTTTAACTCCATTTTTAAATCCTTACTCCATCAAGTATTAAAATTTATCCAAGACAGGAATCATATTCTAATTTAAAAAAAAACTTAGATAACCCTTAAATAAATGATTATATAATTTGCGACAATTAGCCTAACACTTCCAAAGAATTCATAATGTTTATTCTATAGTCCTATATAATATAATATATATATGTTAGCGTTAATGTGTTTATAGCAAGTTTCTAAATACCAACCAAATTTGCTAAATACCGAACAAAATTTACTAAAATGTAATAATTATTATTTAACATAATATTCTAATGGAATCACGTGGTCGAGTCCGGTCTCTTATGTATCATCCCCCCAAGGACGGAACCACCAATCTAAATTAAGAAAAAAACATTATCATTGCTGGGATTCGAACCCATAACCCTCGGATTGGTTAGCATCACTCTTGCCGACTAGGACACTTAGGCTCTCCCAAAACTCACAATTTTTCGAATATATATTATGAATAATTTTGGTAGTGCCTATTAGTGTTGTTAAACGGCTCGTTTTGGTCCGATTTTTAAACACGGCTAACTCAATACTTCACTCAAAATAATATTACGCAAGCAGCCTGAAGATTTTGTTTGTAGAAAGAACAAAGGTTTGCATATCTATTAGCGAAATCCCGAGGCTTAGGCTTGAGCGCTTAACAATACTAGTGCCTATCCAAATGGAAAATAAACAAATTTATAAATGATTTTATGAGTGATTTATTTTTTTTAAGTTTTAAAATAAATTAGATTTTATCGGAAAAATATTCCATCATGCTTGGAATACCATCTCTTATGAATTGTAGAAAATTTTGTTTGTTAATCCTTTTGAGTCGGTTTATAATTTATGTAATAAATTATTTTTAAAAGTTAATGAAAAAAATTGTCTGAAATTCATAGGGTAAGTATTCCAAACATAATGTAAAAAAAATTTTTTTTTTTTAAATAATGTCCAAAAAAAGAAGATTTAGTTGTGTTCCCCAAATTCATAGGCGACATATACAACTATATTTACAGAATCACTAGATATTTCGATAAAAATAAAATCACCGATAAAAGGCATATATTCTAACGCAAAATCTTCCCATCTACAAAGCTCTGAGGCATAATTCAATAATTTTTAATCGATAATAAAAAACAACTTAAAATATTATATCCTTAAAAAAAATGTTTATAGTAAAATTCTAGAAACATAATGCGAGTCAATCTACGGATAAAAAATTTATAAAACGGGCAAACAAAAGTTTGTCATTTGAGTAAGGAATGCAATTTCACAGATGACAGAGCTATAGGGAAAATCAATGTACCCTATCTAGGGATATTAAGTTTAAAATAAAAGATTTAGACAAAATAGGTGAGATAATAAAAGTAGGAAATGAGGCACAAGATATCGATACAAATATTACTTTTCAAAAAGTTATTACTAAACTCAGATACTTAGGGTTTGGAGGATAAACCAAAAGATGGATTAGAGATAAAAATCTTAGATACCAAAAAGACGTCAGACGTATGTAAAACAGATATATATGAGGATAAACAATTGATACCATATGATAACAACAATGTTCAGTAATGGGTTCAACAACCACATTTTGACAGTCAAAGATTTTACAGCCAAAATAACTACTATATACCTAGTCATCAGAATTATAATAGATACAACAGTCAAAACAGATTCGATACCTTTGTAAATTGATCTCTGAAAAATTAGACCTAGGAGATTATAACGGTGCTACCCAAATTTTGACTTCTGACGATACTATTTCCCCTATCAACGCTACTATTTTTCAACAACTTTTCCAAAAATATTCATTAGCGCCCCCTTTTAACATTCACCAGCATGGCTCTTCTCCCATTCCCTTTAACTGTGATGAAGTTCTAAAGTGCTAGAAATCTTTTAAAAAAGACTACAGGTGGGTTAGACGGGTTCAGACCAGGATTTGTTGATTTAATCCAGTGCTTTGATATTAGTTTTATTGACTCTTTACTAAAATCATTAACAGAACTTTGTAACAATATCCTTATACGCGAAGTTCCTCTTTGTATATGCCAGATTCTTTTTGGTGCATCTTGCTTCTTTAACCAAAATGGATGGTGGTGACCCTTTGCTATAGGGTCATTTATTCGCAAAGGTTATTGTAAATAGGGTCCGGTGTAAGGCCAGTTCCCTCTTATTCTCCTTATAGTTAGGTTTTGTAGTTAGAGGAGGGTGCGAAGTGGTCTCGCATATAGCTCGTATTTTTGTAGAGACAGAGGCGAATACTTCAGAAATAACTTCAACATCATTCACAGGAGCTCATTTCTACCCTCCTTCCTACATCATTTCTCCCAATATTGGAATTTCCTTAATTCCTGCTATGGATTTCCCTCGTTACTCAAATTCGGGAAAATTCCCATATCCTCTGAAGAGGGGATTCAGAGGTGAGCCACTAGGTCCCTTGCTCTTCACCATAGGTATACTTGCTTTGATCAAGAATTTAAAGTTTGATTTTAAATTAGACCTTAATTTATGGGTCTTCGACGATGGCGTTTTTGGTGGATCTTTACCCAATGTTTTGTCGGCCATCGAATACGTTGAAATGGAAGCTCTGAAAATTGGTCTTTCCTTAAATAGAAAAAAATGTGAAATATCTTCCCTCAACAATATGTATTTTACCGATACCACCAGATTGTAAAATCATTCCGTCACGAGGAACTCTGTTTGTTAGGTTCTCCTATTGACTCTTCAACTTCCTTTTGTCAAAATTTTTTTTTGACAATGTGATTCAATATTATTTAAAATTCGCTTAAGAATATTCCTCATCTTCCCAAGCATCAGTTTTTTTTCCTCATCAAAAAAAATGTATTTTTCTTATCTAAATTCTTACACATCTTTAAATCTTCCCCGGCTTT